TGTGTGCATGCATATTGGTTTACCTCAGTGTGTGTGTATGTGTGTGGATATGTGTCTGCTTTGTATGTTTATGTATGCATGTGTGCATGTATGTGTGTGTACATATGTGTGTATGAGTGTGAGTTTGTGTGTGTGTGTGTGTGTGTGTGTGTGTGTGTGTGTGTGTGTGTGTGTTCATGTGTTTCGTATTTTCTTCTACGTCAGCAGAATGTAGGTGAGCCGACCGTATCTAAAGTGACATCGCTAACACAAGTCATGCACCAGCACTGTGGGTTATCGCAGACCGACACACCAAACGCATTTGCATCTCAAAGTAGTTCCGCCCTTCTTAGCCTACCCTCACTGATAGATCTAGAAATGCATTCAGAATAAGCCTAGAGCACAAATCCCTGGCGCTGCTTGGTGTTTCCTCAGCAGAGGATAAATTGCGCTTTAACGACCCCGAGCGGACCTTAAGAAATTACTTTTTGATATCCACCCACTCTTAAGGCCTACACTTATGGAGATCTTCATATTGTCACTGTATGCTACAACTGCGGAAAAGCACACGAAAAAGAACGAATAGTGTGCCGTACTTTTCATGAGACGGAAGAATGATAATATTAAGAATAGGACCCTCGATCTTTTCTTACTCCCACATTTCTCCCCCCCCCCGCCCACAATGTCTTTCCCACGCCCTTTTCTCTCGTTCCTTCTCTCGCTCTCTCTTGCTTGGTGGTGTATCATCAGTCGAGACACGACACCAGGGCGGGGTTGGAGAGGAAGGCGAATCGACCAGCGAACTACAGCAAATTTAGGTCACACTGGTCTGCCTTCACCAACCCGTCATCATTCATGCGGCAGAGCATCGCACCGACGCACGCCTCAGGGATACTCGTACTCTCAAGGTACATTTTACATTGTATCTCTGCTTTTCGTCCCATATCTATCTTGAATCTAGAAATTGTCATACATTCCTGTCTAGTTAGCTGATAACCCTCTTGTTAATGTTAAAGAAAAGTATAGAAACTCGCCTTGTGCTCTGCTTTTCGTATGTTTTGTATGTAGCCTATGGGTTTAGATTCCATTTCTTTTCGTTCACCTCATAGCAGCTTTCGTTTCATAGAGGGCGTGATTTGTTAGCGGACGTTTTCAGACAGTGCGGAAAAGCAGACCGACTTTGCAGCAGCAGGTGCGCAGCGCGTGGGAAATGTGGAAGAACTCATTATTTTAGAGTAGCAACATATCAGTGCTCTAAGTCTTTGGAGAACGCAGATGTTATGGGTGCGAAATTCCACATCATGTTCAGTGCTCTGAGAGCTAGATCGAGCTAGATTCTATATTTTAAAATGTCCAGAAGAATAGTCGACTGTCGTTATTTGGTTTGCCCCTTTTTTTTTTCTAGAATTCTGTTCTTTTGGCTTGAATTTAAAGTTGATTTCATTTTACCGTCCAACTCGTACTTAATTGAAGGAGTAGAATATAGGGCTCTTTTTCGGTAGTTCCCACTCCGTAATTCATTAGAAATTGTTATTCACGGGTTTTGGCCCCAAGAGTAGGGGGGTTAGAGGGGGGCTGAATGCCCCCCTGAATTTTACCACAATTTAATGTTTTGCATTTGTTAGGTTTGATTTCTTACCTCGCCGCGAATCAAACGTATAGATCTAGATGGAGGTCAGGCTCAAATAAGAGGGGTGGGAACTACCGAAAAAGCACCGAATTTAGGATGTTTTACCGCCTGAATCTGTAACTCGTGACTCCCTTACATGTTATATAATTATAACTCCATCCATCCATCTTCCTTAATTCGTTATACTACTTTATTCATTCGTTTCATTTAGCCTTCTGCTCAGCTCTCAAACTTCGCAGTTTCTCGCTTTTCCTCTCCCCCCCCCTCCCCAATCCCCGCTCCTCCTGCAAGCAACCCTGCTCTTCAGCAAAAGACCCGAAGTAAACGTGAAGGTGCGATCAGTACGTCTAGCTAGGCCTAGTGTATCGCCTCTTGTCCTCGCCCCTTCCTTTCTGTCTTCTCTAGGCCTACTTTAACCACTTCACTAAGCCATGAATGCGACTTATGAAAAGAACTGTTTGTGGTTGTATAGAGCCGTGTGTTGTGTTCTGTTCATACTGAAATCGGAGCGTCTTTCTTGTGCGTAAGCACGATTTTTGATCACTCGTGCGCGCGCTTTCTTGCTGCCCTCTCAAAGGTACCCCACCCACCCCATCTCGCTAAAAGCTCTCTGTGATGCTTGCGGCTTGCACAGCCTTTCGATCTGAAGGTTCGCTATCTTTGGTTTGTTGATCAGGTGTTTTGACTGTACTTAGAAGCTGCTCTACCTTAGAATCCCCACTCCAAGAGGCTGGTTCAAATTTAATAGTTTCGTTACTCAGTCTAAACTTGTCCTAGGGTCACTTTTTGCACTATCTCCCAGGACCTCCCAGATAGCCAAGTTAGTTTCAGAACTTCTTTTCCCGCTAATTTTTGAGTCTAATGAATGATCCACTTTTTTATTCGTTATTATAGAGATGTCGCTTTGGCATCAAACACTGACATCTGAGGTCTACTGTCCATTTTTTCTCTCCGTTTCGAACAAGACTTTCTCTCTCCTTACCAGGTATCGAGTAGCCTAACGTATTTTGTGTCTAGATAAAAGGTGTTGAAATTTAACAGTTACTGTAGTGAACAAGCCGCAGGGGAATGCTTATGAATACTATAGTCCTAGTTAAGCATGTGTAGTTTATCATATTTTATGAGTTTGGCCAACATGTAGATCAGCCTTTAGTTTTATTGTTTGACGGTTCACTGCTTTAAAAGTTAAATCAATTACTAAGTGAATTATAGGATCCAGTCAACTGAAGAGGACTCTGTCAGTCCGTAGCAGCGTGGGACTTTTGATCTTTGTACGCTGGGTGGAAGAGATAGAGTCCGGGGGTGGGGAGGTGTGAAAAATCTGCTGAGTGCTGAGTTGCAGGTTTTAATTTGGAGTGTTGTATGAAGTGTGTGTGTGTGTGTGTGTGTGTGTATGTATGTGTGTGTGTGTGTGTGTGTGTGTGTGTGTGTGTGTGTGCGCGCATGTGTGTGTGTTTATGAAAGCGTGTGTG